CTTAGATGTGCCTGAAGCTGTGTTAGAAAAAAACTTCAGGGGAGCTCTGGTGGCCTAGTGGCAAGGAGCTGCAACTACAATCCCAGAGGTGCACGGTTCGAATCCACCAGATGTTCTGCCGGGGAAGGAGGGACAATCTCCTCCTGTACCAGTGAGATCTGATTTGACGGTACACTCATACAAAAATAATAAAATTTAAAAAAAATCAAATTAGAAAAAAACTTCAGGAAACTCAAGGTGGGGAGAAGACAGATAAATCGATTGTGACACCACAGAAGAAGCTGGAATAAAGATGTGAAATAATGTGCTGGCCCAGAAAAAGATTGGGTAACCTAGTCAGAGAGTGAGTCTGGGAAGGCTTCTTGTAAAAAATCATTCTTGAGCTCCTCAAAAGAATGAAAAAAGAAAAAAAATGGAAGAGAAGTTAGCTGGAAACAACGACTGAAAAGTAAAGATACTTTGGCAGAGAAATCAACGTCCACAAACGGGGAAAGGTCTAAAGGTGAAGGGAAAAAACAAACAGTGAAGGGACCCCCCCCCCGCCCCCAGCAAAGTGATTCCCATAAGAAAGACTAAGTCCTAACTGACTGATAGCCCAAAATTGAAAGCAATTTGAAAAAGCTAGGTTAGATACAGAATACTATGAACATTTCCAGATGGAGAGAACTTAAGGTAGAGCAGTAATTAATTACTTCAAGAAAGAGGTTTTAAGAATGGGGTTTGAACAGGAAATTAGTTTGGTCCTGAAAGCAAATATAAGAGGATAATCCCAAAGTCTTTGATGTCAGAAACAACAGCTCATTGCCATGGAGTTGGAACTAACATAGCGCTGACCCTCCAGTGGGTTTTCAGAGGCTGTAAATTGCATGGGAGAGATTGCCTTTCTTTCTTGGAGCAGCTGATAGATTTGAACCACTTGTCTTTGGGCTGGCAGTGCAACTCCTTCTAGACCACCAGAACTCCCTAGACTCAAGAGGAAGGTACAGGAAATGAGAGTCCACAGAGCCATTTCAATATGCTGAGCAAATAATGACATCATCCTAGGCTGTGGTGGTATGGTCTGTAGCAAGTGTGCTACTAACTGGAAGATGTATCTCAAGTGGTTCGAATCTGCCAGCAGCCCCATGGGAGAAAGATGAACATGCTCCTCCCATGAAGGTTCTCAGCTGTGGAACCCGGGTGGAGGGTCACCATGAGTCCTCACTGAGTTGATGGCCATGAGGTCGAGTGTGAGGCTCCCAGGATAACAAAGCCTAATACAAGGATTTGTCCTAGGGTTGGCTCTTAGGGAGCCCTTGTAGCCTAGTGTAAGAAGCTGCACTGCAATTCCAAAGGCACGCAGTTCTAATCCACCAGCTGCTCCTCTGGAGAAAGATAGTCTCTTCCTGTGTGAGTGACTGCCTCTGAAGATTCCTGGAGGGTGTGCTTTGCTTTGGTTCTGACCCGACAGCACAACCAAAACCACAAGACAAAGATGAAGTGCTGATGTGCCCATTGCTCATTTATCAATATGGCTAGGTTCCAATTATCAAAAATGGAAACT